GGGGAACATTTCTCCAACTGAATCGATCAGAAGTTGGATAAACCCTCTGAACGAGGAGCAGTGGGAGGAAATCCCCCAGCATGCAGCCTGTTCATAATATTGTTCTGATTTAGTTACTCTTTGGGTAAAATTTTAAATGTCTCCACCTGGTGGTCAGGGGTGTGAACTACTACAAGTCTAATATTTCTGTCAAAATCTGATCAGAGAAAATATTCTGTCAACCCCTGAGTTGAAGTTAGAAACACTGCCACCTGCAGGTGAGAATAAGAATCACTTAAACCAAAAGTTTTGAGTATTTTTGATAAAAATTTGCAATAAACTCACAATTATCTATTAGCATGAAATAATGTGGAGATCTGGTGATTTTACATTAATATCTATGAACAACTGGAGGAACTGAAGCAGTTTTTATGAACAGGAGACTTTGTGTGACTGTTTTGACAGGAAGTGTCCAGCGTGGCGTCCTCTTACCCTGGAGTCCCACTCGTTCAGCGTCTTCACATTGATGAAGGACACTTCTCCATTGGCGCCGGTCATCACGCCGTCGTGCTCACAGCGCACGATCAGGTCGATGTCTTCTCCCAGCTTCCAGTGGCGGTACCTGGATCACACAGCGGATCAGAACCGCTCCGGTACCACACAGCGGATCAGAACCGGTCCGGTCGCTACCTGTACGCCACAGACGCCACCTCGCTCTTGTCCATGTCCTCCTCCACAAACGGGTTGGGGTTCGGGAACTTGTGTCTCTCTCCGCCCTGAACGCAGAGGATGAAACGTGATTGGTCGTCAGCGTGACGCCGTGGGCCAGGTGGGGCCAGGGGGCGGGGCTTACCATGCGTAAACACTGCTGGCTGAAGTTGTGGTTGATGTAGGTGGCCTCCATGGCCAGGTTACGGGGGGAGTTGAAGGAGTTCCCTTCGTCCTGCGGAGGCTCGTTGGCTGTTTCGCTCACCGTCAGCAGATCTGGAGAAAAGGACAAACAGCTGAACGGGACTTCCACCTGAACGGTAACCTGAACAGGTCCATCAGGGCTGTTTAGTTCCTCCAGCTAAAGGCTTTTAATGACTGTAGGAGGGAACTTGGAGAAGCTTCAGCCGCGGCGCCAACAGCTGCCTCAAAACCTCTAAAGAACCAAGTCTGTAGATTTGTTGCTTTTTCAAAAAGTCAGTAAGAGTTTTAAAAGTTGCCAAGTTGGTAATAGTCCTTCCCTCTAATGAGTCCCGACACTCAGCTAATGCTTGGCCCCGCCCCGTCTCTTTGGCGTTTCCAAAAAAAAAAAAAAGGCGTCTCAAGAACCCGATTGGACCAAATTAATGACTGTCATTTGAGGTTTTTTCTTCAAAACTATGGCTAGCTTAATTGTCGTTAGCATAAGACGTTCATTTATTTATTTAGTTTTCTGTTGTAACTTATTAAGCAGTTAGATATAAGAACAGCAGACAGACTTGTCTACTGTTATATTATAAGCGTCTGGGGAGGGGCTAAGCGTCTGGGGAGGGGCTAAGCGTCTGGGGAGGGGCTAAGTGTCTGGTGAGCTGCTGAACGAAAGGAGAGGAGCGA